GGGGGGGGGGGGGGGGGAGAAAGACAACAAAACAAAGAAACAAAAATCCCTCACTTTCTGAACTTCTAAAGATATATGTAAAAGGTCTCCTTAGAAAAGTGCCTTGAATTGCTTCCTGAGTCCATCTGCCTGGACTAGCTGCACATCGTTCACGGTTACTCAAGTTCCCTGTCATTTTAGAGGTTTAGTTTCTAACTCCATCACAAATGTCACATAAAATGTGGCCCAAATGTACCACAATATTGCAGATAGTGCATCCATGTCTTAGGTACCACACCCCTCACGGCTAACCACCTACCAAGTCAGCACAGGTACTACAGAAATGCCAAGAAGGACAGCAGACTGGAGTCTGCAGCTGTATTAGGTAGAAAGCACTAAGCACTGCTGTACCCCAGCATTCTAGCTTCATTACGCACAGCAACAGGTCACCTTCCCACTTCTGCTATTTCCTTCATTCTCTGACAGACCACTATGGACCTTAAAATGATAGATGGAACAATATAGTTAAAATAATTATTAGCGATAGCGCTTGGCATAATTGCTGAATTAACAACCACTATGAAGTGTAAATAAAGGCTCCAGAATCTACCAGTAGCGAGTAGCACTCATTATGAACAGTGGGTTTACGGACTCTGGCCACCCAGGCCCTGGAATAAGCCCTCGTTTTAATATAAATCTTCCTTTATAACTCCACTGGGTCCTCAGTCTGGCTCCTGTGTCCTGGCCTGTGGGACCGGGTTTTGTGGCACAAGGCTGCCTGAGCCAGGCAGGGGGCGAGCGGCCAGTACGCACCAGAATTTGGCGTGGTGGGCGAATTGGTCTGGTTGTTCTGCACCGCTGCGGCTACTGCGTGCGCGGCTGTCACGGCTGTCTTTGCGGCATAGAGGTTGGCTTCTTCCTGAAACTTGCCGATATTCTTCTTGTACCTGATTCGTTTGTTGCCAAACCAGTTGGATACCTACAAATCACAGGGACATGAATGAAGGGGAAGAGAGGTCAAAGGGGGAAAAAGAGTCAACCTTCCAATAATAACCGTGGGACACCAAGGGGACACCTTGGGAGACACTCAGTTCTTAGCTCGCAATCACATCCTGCGGATCACGCATCATGGTTTTCGAGGTTCGCTTTTGCTTTTTGCAAACCTTGGCACCCAGAATAACACCACTACTAGCAGTTAGTCACAGTAACACTAAAAAGGACGGGAGCACTGTTCATAAAATGTATATATTGGTTGGTATATACCAATTGGTGCATAGGTGATCAGTCCCCCTAAAAGTAGCTGAAAGACTAAAGGGAACATTTGTTAAGTTAGATAAATAATAAATTTTTGTGAAGGAATGACTTCTTCTTTTTGGGTCTGGAACGATTTTGGCAGTTGGACAGTAGAATCATGTTTGGTCTGCTGAAAAGAGTAACATCAATTAATAATGGATGAACGATCCCTTTGTCCTCTGTCTTAGAAGGTTCTGTGCGTCTGCCAAGATGGCTGCTCACGCCCTGCCAGTTACCACACGAGAAGGTCACAACTTGAAATTCAAGGAATTCCAACAAGGCCAAATGCAAATATAGGGGAGCAGCTCTGATTTCATCAGGTGGAATATACTTAGGTCTTTCACACACTACTTATGATGTCAGCCTGTGCAAATGGAAGAGATTTCTAAAGAGGAACTTGGCAACAGGAAGAGTTCATCACATTTCACTGACAGCAAAACTTCAGCCCAAGACTCATTGCTCACAGTTACATGACGTGTTCAGGCACCTGAAGCTGAGCTATATAAAGAAACGAAAACCCACACAGCAGGTTATAAAAAGGTACCCACCTGCTATATAAAAGGCTCTGACCTCCCTTTTGTTAAAGTAACAGTTTAAAAATTCTCTTCAATAATTTCTTAATAATCTGTCAAAGGGGCACGTTGCTGTGGTATCAGGCTGGGTGGGTCACTGTTTTATTCTGAACAGCTATTCAGAGGCCCGGAGGAACAATAAGGAGTCGCATGAGCCCTCCAACCCAATTTACACCAGTGGGCACGCTTATTGACCTTCTCTGCCAAGAGTTTAATTGCTTTGGAAATAGAACTCTCCTTCTTCAACTTATGGCACTCATCCTTCCAGAAGCCAGAGAACCCTGGCAAAGAAGCCACGTGAGGAAGACAATGTTGGCCTTGCCGCTGCCCACATGCTGTCTCATCCTGGCGAGTCACCGTATGCACACGTATACACACGCAGGCACACTCACTAGGATCCATGCGGCAACCATGAGCATAGGTTCATCAGACAGAAACAAGCCAAAACTCATCAGGAAGTAAATATGCTAGAGATCAGGACTTCCTAGCTGTTTCTGTTCCACTATTATTCCCCCACCCCACCCATTACGGACTGTATATATCACTTCCTTTCTTCACATCAAATAGTAGTGGTTATAATAACTGCCACTCAATGACTATCTCCTGTGTGTCAAGCATTACGCAAAGCCCTTTGCGTACCTTTTCTCATTTAATCTTAATCTCAAGGGCCAGGTGGCTGACTGAGGTGGTTATACAGGCGTAACACCTGTCCCAAATCCAATGGCCTTTTCTCTTTCCTTCTTCGATGTTTCAGCAGTGTCTGATATGCCAGGGTGTGTGTGTGTGTGTGTTCTCCAAAACTCAGCTCTTGGCCCTCTTCTCTCCTCTCCTTGAGCAATCTTCTCCATACTAATGATTTCAGTCATTGTCTCTGTGTGGATGGCTCCCAGATTTCCATCTCTAGCCCTAACTTCTATGAATTTTGGTTCTTGATTTTAAAGATATTAACATATAAATGTTTTGCCACAGCCTCCAACTCAATAGGTCTAAAATGGCATTCATGTGTCCTCTACACCTGCACCTCCTTCTGTTTTCTCTTTGTGTTCATAGCATCTCCACCTCTAGAGATGTGGTACTTCCTACCTTACAAAGTCCCTGATTCCACCATTGGACGATTCCAATGGATATTCAGTTCGATCTGGTTCCCTCTCACTTCTAATCATTGGCCTTAGTTCCAACACCTAGATGGTGATAATATTAGGTTCTCAAACAGCCCTGAGGGACTGAACCCTACTAGGCCACTGGCCTTCTTTGCCTTCCCTTCTTTGAACCCCATATGCTTCGGGCAAGAGCACATGAGCATCGAGTAGGATGTGGCAGTGGGAGGAAGAGCCAGGGGAGTGTACAGGTGAGGAGGCAGTGAAGACTGGAACCAGGCAAAGCAGTAGTTATGGAGAGGGCAGCTATCACGGGGGAGGCATTGGCAGAATTTGCCACGGACCAGCTACACAGGTCGGGGGAGAGGGAGAAGCCAGAGATGATGCTGATGTGGGACCCAGGCCTCCAAGAACATGGAGACAGATGCTCTGGGAGGGATTTCTACACCAGGAGAAGTCAGCCTCGGTGACTGTTAGGATCCATTCCCACACCAAAATTACAGGACTCTAAAAACAAAAGTTCTGACTCAAGACTGAAAAAGGACCATAAAGGTATCCTTTCTGATTATGCTGGTTAAAGTAAGTTCTCTCAGACCCTACCTCATGTTTCACAAGCACATTCTGAGCTCAGGAGACAGATCCAGAGAGCTGGTTCTCAAAAAGCTCCCTCAAATTACATCACTCTAGTTTGTCTGAATAAGACTGGCAGGCCTTTGAAAGAGTTAAATATTGAATATATCTACGGTGCAAAGGGAGATATTCCTGGTTGAGAGGGAATTTGGCATTTCTTAAAGTATAATTAATGAAAATTCCCCAACTCTGAATTTAGCAACAAAGGCCCATCTTCGAATTCTCCTCTTCTAAACAATTCTCTGTTGGATTCCGTACTTTGTAGTTAATATTACTTTGACGATCAGAGAAGCTATAATACATTAATGAAACCTAGCCTGGAAAATCAGATTACAGCTTTATTAACAGTTTCATAATTGAGGAATCTCTGTACCACTGAAGGGCCTCATTTCTAGACATGCAAGAATCCTGTGTTTATGCATACCCCTGGACCAATCAAACAACAGTCATCACTAATAAAGGTTTATTTAATTCTCACAGTAAAATTTTAATATCACCAGCAGCCTGGGGAAGCTTTAGCAAGTGGATTTGCTTGACATCAGATCGTTTCTGTTCTGCTAGTCCCAATACTTCTTAATCTTTAATATCAAGGCAATTAAAATTAATGGCCACTCATCCGAAGCTACTGTGGACAGTGTTTCCGTGACACCAATTGTTTGATGGGATTACCTAGAGGTTAAACTAACAAGCAAGGTTTAATTGGAAGCAATGAAAGAAGCAGTGATCATACGTTATGTTTAACCTGCATAAGCACATCTAAATGAATATCTAAAAATGTTAAACTATTTCTCAAATTAAAATATGCACGTCACATTCTGAGATCACAGATTTGGGCATTGCAGCAATCAGCTATTAAGACCACGCCACAGCAGCTAAGATCGGTGTAATTAATGTATGAATCGACACCCAAGTTCAGGAATTTCTGTCACCTTTTAAAAACAGATGGGGACAATTAGTTGCAAGCGAATCTCCACCCTCACCCTGTACGAATCACCAAAAGCTACGGATCACACGCGTCCCTCCTACACGGTTCTCACCGTGGAGCCAGGCCATAGGCATGGGACAGTAAGCAGAGCTGAGCCTGCTCCGTCTCTGAACTGGAATGGTCTGTGTTGGTCCCAGAATAGAAACACAGGCAAGAAATTGGTGGAGAGAAAGGGAATACATTGTCCTGTGCTTCTCTTTTGAGCCACATATCAAGGATTCATGACTCTGGACTGTGCAGAAGGTGAAGGGCCAGGCAAGATTTTAAGACCAGTTAACAATGAGAAAAAGAGAGAATAAAAATACAAGTACACTCCTCCTTCTACTCATGGTCACTGCTATCAGCTCCCAGACTGTGAGCCTTTGGCCACTGGGAAAATGAGTAGTGAACATTCTGCAGGCTGCTGATTTTCTGGGGCCCTTCTGCAAGGCCAAGAAGTGGCCAGAAAAGCTTCTGGTCTCACCCGTTTACTAGAGCCAGGCACTTTCCTAACTCAATCCAGCAGCAGACTGCCAATTGCTTTTAAAAAGTCAAATGTTTTTATATGTGGAATCTAAAAAAAGACAAACTCATCGAATTGTTGGGTATGTTAATGATTTGGCCCATGGTAATTATCTGATGACTATTACCTATTACTATCACCCATGTTATATCAACCAAGGAACAAGAGATCCAGACTATGCAAGTTGCCCAAAATCGGACAGCAAAGTGTGATAGATCCAGGTTTCAACACCAGGTTTCAACATCCAGTTTTTCCATTTTTATAACAATTGGGATGTTTACTGAGTATCTGTTATGGTCAATACTGTACTATGTGCCATGAGGAGATAAAAGAATAAACATGTACCTCTACCTGCCTAGAATTTGCAATCTGATTATACAACAATGCTAGACACTCAAAACAATTCACAAAAATCGCAGGACGGTGGTGATCACACACCCAGATGCACAGTACAGATTCTACGTGTGGCAGGGATCTGGAGGAAGAGGAGTGCCAGCAGGTCTGGGAAGTCAGAGGAGACTTCTGAGGGAAGGTGGAGTCTTAATGGGACTCAGCTTCAATTCAGCTCAACAGTATTTTTATTGAGACTGCATACTTCAGAAGCACAAACCTCTAGAAGCTCTGTTGACATGAACAAGCCAAAACCGTCAGCTGCTACCTCCCTCTTCCTGCTCTGTCACTTAACTCCCTTTTCCCCTCTCAATCTCTAAACCCCTCTGTTGTAGTGAGAGAGGAAGGAGAAACCATTCTAAAGGAAAAGAGGAACGGAGATCCAAGGAGTGTTTCTGAAAGATGGGACTTCGGAGTGGAGGACTAACAAGAGAGGGCCATTCCCACAGGGGAGAATGAGGGCAGAGCAAGGGGCAGGGTTAGGCATGGGTACCAGGGGGTGTGTGTGTG